GATTTCACCGTTTTGTTAAACGAAGTTTAAAATAGTAAACGAAGATTAAAATGACATTTTTATATTAACACAAATAAAGTTTAAATTACTAAATGGAGTTTAAAATGACATTTTTACATTAACAATGTCATTTTAATCTTCATTTAGTAATTTAAACTTCGTTTGACACAACGGTGGAATCGCCCCTTAGCTAGTTATATATTGATAAAGTGTTATTGCCCTCATCAAAAATGAATCGTGATGACAAATAAAGTCAAAAAAACGTCTCATAATTTTTCATCTTTTAGTTACCTACCAAAATTAGGTACTACAATACAAATATTTAAGTCCGGCCCAGAACATCTCCCTACTCCTTCCACCCAGTTTTTCGGTTTTGGCAAAATTCGCGCAGTGACAAATGCTTCCTATGTTACCTCTACCCTTTCTAACCTCTTTGGCCCTAAGTCAGATAGCTTTCAAAGACTTTCCATGCAGTGCCTCTTATCCCATTCTTTTCAAGTACATCGAGAAGTTTTTGGTGTGGCACTGTGTCAAAAGCCTTTGCTAAATCCAAAAAGGTGGCGATACATTTTTTATTGTTGTTCATTTCTTCAGCTACTTGAGATATTAGTGCATGCATAGCATCACTCGAATTAAGACCCTCTGTAAAACCATATTGATGCTGAGGAAGCAGATTGTTAATTGGTCAGTATTCAATGAGTCTCTCTTTCAAACATTTCTCAAATATTTTTGCGATATTACTAATTAAACTGATTGGCCTGTAATTGCCTATTAAGTTTGGGTTACCGGTTTTATAGATCGGGGTTATAATGGATTTTTTAAAATGTTTCGGTACAATCCCAGTACAAAATATTGTATTAATTATATGTTTTAAGGGAGTTACAATGAACGGATGTAATAGTTTTAAGTGTTTTACTGATACACAATCAAATCCAGGGGTACTGTTGTTCTTTAGGCTATTTATATATCTAATTGTATCATTGTCACAAATAGGTTTTAAAAATATTGACTTAGTTATCATCGTTTGTACAGGGTAATTTTTACAATCACGAAAGGTTTCATACATTTTTGTACCAATAGAGGTAAAATATTTATTACAATAGTTCGCCATTTCTTTGTCAGTATTGAAATCTTTATTCCCATCATCAACAATTACCAAGTGGTTTTGACTTTTTTACAGCTGTCATTTGTAGCTTCTGAAATTATCTGGTAGGTTTTTTTTTAAGTTATTCTTGTGTTTATTTATTTCATTTTTATAGTAATCATTTTTTGTTTTCAATATTAATTTATTTAAATTGTTTCTAAAAATTTTATATTCATTTTCTTTATTAATGGAGTGCTTTTTTTGTAATTGCTTTTTTAGTTTATCTGTTTTTGATGGAATTGATTAAGCCATTTGTTATCCAAGGTTTTATTTTTTTATGATTTTTTTGTTTAATTTTTTTTACAATTTTACATGATTCAATACTATTGAGATATTTGTCATAGAACTTTTGAGTTGCTATTTCAGGGTTATTTTCATTGAGAACACTTTCCCATATTAAAGCTTCAAATTTAGAAATTAGTTTGTCAGTATCAATTTTAGTTATAGTTGTATAGGTAGTTAGAGATTTTGTTTTATTTATTGAAAGAGGTTTTGAAATATTTATCATAACCGGATCATGATCGGTTAAATCGTAGTTTATCACATATGAGTTGAATTTTAATTTTTCGGTTTTAATATTGTTTCTTAAAAATATGTGATCCAAACAGGTTTTACTCTGAGCCCGTGTGATTGTATTTATATAAGACAAGAAGCCATTTGAGTGAAGAGTTACTTCGTAGTTATTTGTGATATGATTTTTTCCGTCCAGGAGATCGATATTAATGTCTCCTATAAACATTTCAATACTTTTGTTTAGGTGAGTGGGGATGTAATTTTCTATGTCTCGAATAAATGTATCTGCCGAAGTTTGAGGAGACCTATATAAAGCACTAATGCCAATAGTTGTATGATTTGCTGTTATGTTTATTTTAGTGATACAAATGCCTGAAAGTTCGAGCTTTATTGTGTTTATTTCTGCATTTAATTTTGATTTGACTAAAACTATGACACCATCATTTCTATTAATATTACTGTTGTTGTATTGTATGTTGTAACCCTGTAGATTAAACTGTGAGGTAGATTCTAATTGAAAACATTCGGATAATATAATTACGTCACAAAATTTTATATCATAACTTTCTAGGAATAAGATAAACTCATCAAAATTATTTTTAATACTTCTGATGTTGAGATGCATGACATTAAGGAGTTTTTCATTTAAATTAATTTTACTTGTTATATTTGGAGCATCAATAATAAAATAATAATAATATATAATCTGATTTTGGTGGTAATCTTAATTCTTTTTTGTATTTCTGATTCAAAAATGCTTTCTTAGTTATGTGTAAGAAATGGTTATTGAACTTCAAATTAGACTGAAAGACAACTCCCAAATCTTTTTCCTCATATTCACGATTTAATGTGACATCACAGGTCTTCTGTCTAATGTAAAAATTAAGAGGCTACGGATCCTACCAACTTAAAATATGCATATGTTTGTAAGTGTTAAATAGACGGATAAAAAGTGTTGATTTTTATTTACAACTATAATAAGAACCTATTAAAAAGATTAAGAGCAATAGAACATTTCAACAAATTTCTATAGGTACATATATTTTTGATACCTGATAATCAATAAACAATATATTTTTTGGAGTAGCAACAGGTTTATTAATACACAACTATTATTTTGTTACAAATACTTATATTATAATATTTATAACTTACATAATAGTTAATATAAGTCCTTTAAAAATAATATATTTTGATTTAATTATTGAATTTATATATGAACAATTTTTCTTGTAGCATTGTTTACATTTTACAGAGAAATATTGTATTCTGCTTTTAGCTAATACATCATGTACATGTAAATAATATAAATTTGGTAAAGATCTGATGATGGGATTCATGAGAAAATAATCACTCTTCGTTTTTTGTAGTCATCAGTTTTTTTAAATTAATTTTGTAACTTATACATTTTTCAATGAATCAAAGTAAAAAACTGTTTAAATTGGGAAATTTCTAAAGTTCAGTATCTATTTTTTAGTTAGAAATGGAAAACTGGGGGAGAGATGGTAAAATCTCTGGTATGAGAAATAAATTCACATTTGACCTATTCTTGAAATTCATATACAGTTCCTTTAATCCCTTCAATTTGGATGCTATATTTCTTTGCTAATAAACTAATGCTAGAATTTATTTTTTATTTAAGAACAATATTGGAATTTCTAGATTGTTGAGAAAATTAAATAATTATGATATGATAATTAGCTTTTATAGGTTGTGTAATAGTCAAAATTTAAAATATTAAATAATTGATACTATGTATAAATTACACTTATTTACATTAATATATTTGCTTTCACATTTGTAATTTACAGATTTGTAGGTCATAAATAAAACACCAAATTCATTTTAAAATTTTATTTTTTAGGATTAAATTAATATACACAAAATACATAACATAATAAAAAAATATAATAAATCTACAATAAATAAAAATACATTTAATTTGCCCATCATTATTAAGAATTCTAATTCTAGAAAATAATCATTCAATCCAGGATTTCTTTTTGGTTATGACAGGTTTCAAGTTGACTAGTAATTTTGTGTTAAAATTTACAGTTTGCCTAACGTTTTGGATACGTCTACTTAGCCAGTTCCACATATTTAATAAATGTATGAAAAGAAATGGATCATTTCAACATAGGTACAAACAATAAAAATGTTATTACTGATAGTAGTTTACTGCTAAATATTTACTTCTGAAAATAGGCAGGAAAAAACTATAAAATTATTAATGCTATCATCTCATGAAATATTTTAAAATACTTAGCAAACACCTATATTACTGCTAAGTAATGCCTATTTAAAAATAAAAATATATTGCTACAAGGCTATACCGCCGTCATAAGCCAAACCCCAATAACTGACAAATTACAAATATTTGAGGTTATTTGACCATTCTGATACATTACTTTCTTACCAAAAAATGGTGCAGTGGAATCAAAGGAATTCAAGGGGGACTCTATTTGATTATAAAAAAATGCTTTAATTTGAGCCCATCTCATCAAGTTGGAGATTTACCACGCCTCCTTCTCGTTTTTCACCCTTAAACAAATAAGGAAAAAATTTAAATAAACAAAAATAATACTAAACGTTAGTCATTTCCAATTTTATTTTTTTTAACTTTAGTAGCTTGAAAAATCTTTAAAATGGGAAAAGACAGATATTGCTAAAATTGTATAAATAATAACACATACAAAAGAAGTTTTATATTGTATATATGAAAGTGATTTAATTTTTGTTTAAATTAAAATCCTATGAATTATCTTTTAAAATATAAAATGTCTGTTAAATAACATTATTATAGGTACTTTGCTTAGAAAATTAACTTTAAATATAATACTGCATAAATTTTTAATTTGATTCCAAATAAATTTTTTCTTTTATTACTAAGAAGGCACAATATTCTATACTATATAGAAGGTAAGTATATTAATGTTACTGTCCTAGGAGGGTGGGTGTACAAATATTATGAATATGCAAATGTTATGTATAATAAAAGTGTCCTTTGACTGAGACAAACAAATACGAACCTTGTCCTGTCTCTCCTTCTATTTGACCTCTTGTAAAGTTTAGTTTTCTTTTTGTTGTATCTCACTTTTAGATTTCTGTATTTTGTCCAATGATACCATCGTTTGTTTTGTGGAGACCATCCAATAACAATTTACTATATTCTTCTGCTCCAAGTAATAAATTGATTGGACCTGTTTTATTGAATGTTGGATCCGCTAATAACCTATTCTGCAAGGTTGCTGTATCAACGTGTAGTAATGGGTTTTTTGGGATAGCTTGTGCCAACTTTGACATAACCATCAGTTGGACATTCATGACAGGGTCACTAGAGAATCTAGGTTTGCAGATGTGCTTGAATTCTCCATTTTGAAAGTTTGGGCTTTCCATCGGCTAGACCAGATATTTCTGCTTTGATTCTTTCTCTTGGTAGGGCTAGCATTTGGGCAGCTTCTTCAGTAATAAAGGAGGCTTGAGATCCTTGATCTAGGGGTGCTCTTAATAGTATCATTGTGCCATCATTGGTTTTTACGTGTATCATTGAAGTTGGAAGCAAGACTTCATTTTCTTGTGTTCCTTTTTGTTGAGGTTTAGTAGTTGAGTTCGCTTGATACTAATTTCGATTTGAGCTTGAAGCGTTTAAGTTGCTTCTTGGGCCTGAGTTTGGATTTTGTTTTAATCGATCTCTGTTATCTAGGTGCAACATGGTATGATGATGACGTTGACAGATGTTGCATTTGAATGAACTTTTGCATTTGAATTTGGATTCATGAGCCATACAGTTGTAGCATAATTGTTTACCTTTTATGGAATTGTTTCTGTCTTTGACATCTAGTGACTTGAAAGCTTCACATTGATATATTGTGTGGTCTTTGTTACAATACCCACAAGTGTTATAACCATTATTTTTATAGCTTGTTTTTATCTCGGATTTTGGATACATAATCCTGGCTTTTGGCATCTCTTGATTTTTTGATGACTAGTGATTGAAATCTTCTTTCTAAGAATTCCGTTACTGTGGCAAGGTTGGAACTTAATGCGGCTTGGTTAAGTTTTGTTCAAAGAGTTTGCTTATTGTAGGATCCCATTTCCTCATTATTATTCTGGTTACAATGAGTCCCCAAGACATTGTTTCAATACCTATATTTTTAATGGCATTAAGGCATTCCATGGTAACGTCATGAAGTTGTTTAAGTTTTTTAACTGACTCATCGTGGCAAACAGGCAAATCTAGTATTTTGTCTACTTATTTTCGTACCTTTTTTTCAGTAGTTCCCATGCTGATAGGTAATTTCAGTTATTTCTGGATGTTCTATAATTTTGCTTGCTTCTCCTCGGATATTTGTTTTTTGATATTGCATTTTCTCAATGGTTGTTAAAAAGCTGCTTTGATGAATAACTTTTTGGAAAATATGAAAGGAGAACCATTTATCGTAACTTCCATCAAACAATGGTAATTTAATTTTTGGGAGTTGTATATTTGGTTTATTATTTTCTCGGATATTTTGACGGTCTTTATTTGCTATTTATTCTGCCATTGTATATGTGATTGACTCAGTTTGTTTCCTAATTTGCAGAATTCGTTTTATAGTATATATTGCTATTTTCTTATCTAACAATAATCTAGCTTTCGTCCTTTATTATCAATGAATACTTCACAAGCCGCCCAACTGTTCCTTAACAATTTGATTATATGACATGAATCAAAAATAACATGTACCGTTGTATTGTTATCAACAGGATGTGGAAAATATTGTTTCAAATTGTTGATATTTTTCAAATTGGCACCTAAGCCTTTAGCCATAGTAAAGTTGGCAGAAGGACCATCACAAGTTACTGCAACAATTTGAATCTCAACATCGTGCAATTTTATTAAGGCTTGCTTAATAATGAATTAGAAAGTACGCTACTGATAATTTCCAACTTCCAATAACTGCCACTACCAGTAGTACAAAGACGTCAGTTGCACATTTCATATCATCATCATTCTGGGTATCACTTCCAATATCCTCATAACCCCATTTTCTATTTCCAATAAAATCTACTTGCTTTTTAATAGATATCTCATCAACAATAAGATTGCAAATAGTCTTTTTATTTTCAGCTTTGTTTTCTTCAATCATTTTCTTTAAAGATATGAATGAACATTCTGAAAATCCTGGTTTACAGTTAATTTTACTTATCCAGGATCTTATTGTGCTTGGGGCAGGTAAAGCCAAATTAAAAACTCTTTTTACATAATTATAGGCTTTACTTGAATAAAACTAAAGTTATAGCAAATGTTCTCAGTTTTTCTGTAAATTTACCTCGGCCTTGTTTTATGCTTCTAGAAATATTCCTTACATTCTGCATAAATCTCTTCATTAATACTAATGGTACTCCTGAAATTGATTTCAGTAAACCATCAATAGCATTATCAGAAACCATATTTTTTTAAATGCCGTAACGTATCTTTTAAATTTGTAATCTTCTTCAGTCTTTAAAGACGTTTTCTCTTCTTTCGTATATTTTAAAGCAGCTTTTTTCTGCATACTTTCACTTTGCTCATAGTTGTTCTCAGAGTTTTTGTGGAGACACTGAAATATAATTTTTTATTAGTAAATTATAATTTACAAAGGAAAAAAATCTAACAGTTTCCTAAATTAAAAGATTTTTGTTTTGTAATTTATTTAAATACAAGTATCTAATAAATAGGTATACTAATAAACTATGTATTAATTTGTTTCAATAAAAGCAGACAAATAATTTAAAATAATATTTGTCACACTTTATTTTTGAAAGCGGGTTAAACGGTTTTCAAGAGTATCGGATATATCCTTTTCAGGAAATGCGGTAAGACTATCGCCAATTAAAAAATGTGCAAGGGTTAAACAATTTAAATCATTTGAATCATGTGACAAGGGTTGGAGGGGTCTTGAATTTAAAATTGCTTCTATTTGGGTTAGAACTGTACATAACTCTTCAAAGGTAAAATTAGAGTTTCCTATTATTCTAATTAAATGAAATTTGGTACTTTTTATAGCTCCCTCCCAAAGACCACCCCAATGTGGGCTTTTTCCACATTTCCACCTTATTTCTTTGAAAAACAAAAATTCTTCTACTGGATTATAGTTTTTCTTTGCCTTGAAAAATTCATAAAAATCCTTCAATTGATTTTTTGATCCTAAGAAATTGGTAGCATTATCACTAAATATAATTGTAGGATTACCTCTACGTAAAATAAATCTTTTGAAAGTTAAAATGAAAGATTCTGTGGATAAATTCGAAACTAATTCTATATGTACAGCCTTTGAAATCATACAAACGAATACCGCAATATAACAGTTTACTAAAGGAGCTTTTTTCCAATGTGAACTTTTTACTAAGAAAGGACCGCCATAATCCACTTCAACTTTGGAAAATGGCCTTGATGGTTTTAACCTATCACGAGGTAAATCGGACATTATTTGTTCACATACCTTTGCTTTAAATCTATAACAAACTATACAATTTCTTATTATTTTTTGATTTCAGTTAATCCATTTAATGACCAATATTTTAAACGAAAATTTGACGCTGTACGCAATACCTCAGACCATTATTACTAAAGCGTTACTTGCTATATCCATGCTAGTTTTATTATGTGTTTCTTGAAATCCTATAATTTTGTCCTTCGAAATGTCATAAAACAGATGAAACATTTCGTCTACCTAACCCTCAGTTCTGTCGTACGGAAAATAAAATTATTAATAGCCCATCTTTTGGTAAAACGGTGTAGTGTTGATTTGGACGGTAGTCTACATATAATTGAAATTTTTTTATAAGCTTTGGGACCTAAGAAATAAACGCTTAAAGCAAACTGCTGGAAATCATCCGAGTATCGATATCCTTTGTTCAAAAAGTTTAGTTGTGCCTTCAAAAGTTTACATGATTGTTCAGAATAATTTGTTTCTAAAAATCTTACTACATCTTCCATGTTAACTCCATAATTCAATGTTTTTCTGCATTCAAAAGAACTAGCTGTTTTCCGCAGAGTTAGACCGTATTATTTGTTTGCTTAATTTTTTTTTCAATGAAGCGACCTCTTGTC